AAAGTTTTGTCAAACCAGAAGAAGGACAAGAGAAAGAAAAGGATGAAGAAGAGAAGATTGCTGACGAAGAAAAAGAAGAAGGAAAAGACACACAGGAGCCACATGTCCCAGCTGAAGGCTCTTCAGAGAAAGAGGAATCAGCTCCACCTGAACGCTCCTCAGAAAAGGAGGAATCAGGGGAGAAGAAGACAGACATTCAAGATGATGAGACAGCTCCTGAAGTGAAACCTGCAGTTCGACTTTACTATGGTCAAGATATCACTGGAAACGAAGATGATTCAGTTTTTCGAAGATTGAAGGATTGTTTTTCAGATGGTTACCATGGTGAATGGGCAGGATTTTACAACAAAGGTTATCCAGCGTCTTCGAAGCATCGACATATGTTTTGGCATGTTAAGTACAGGAAGACCATGTCTCCACATCATGATTTTTGGTACCATCTTACAGATGACCAGTTGATGGTTGAGTACATTGCCAGACACAAGGATCAGAATCCACAACTAGAATTACAAGAACTCAATCAGCGCATTGAATATGGTTGTAGTGATCCTAGGATGCATCCTCTTCATCAAGACAAAGCAGAAAGATCCTCAAAAGAAGCAGAAAAGAGGATTGATGACGATTTTGGAAATCTCACAAGGGTACTCCAAGATTACGTTGAGAACCACAAGGTCTTGCCTTACTGTATGATCTTGCATAGCTTGGCTTACAGGTATTTAGGTGGAGGCCTATCAGACCCAACGTACAAGGATGCCGAATTTCCATACAGATCCTCTCCACAGATAACAGCAATGTTTTGGAATTTGGGAAACTGGTGCAGAAATAGATTTGAAAAATGCCCGGTTCCAGAAAGATTTCAACAATTCATTCCACACATTGACTACACTATCGATGAGGATCATGAAAAAATTGATGAAACCAAATCACAGTTCAACAATTACTTCATCAATGTCATCAAGAACTTTGGAGGACATCTTTTCATGAATTGCGAGGCTGGTTCGTTGTATCCTCATAGAGAAAGACTCGACGAGGTTGACTTTAAAACTTGCTTCAATGACTATCATGACTTGATGGTGGCTGCTCGCCTTGGAAAGGATGGCTATATCAAGCAAATTGCTGGATATCACACAGATGACAACGACACACGAGTTCGACAAGTCTCATGGGCAATCTTTGAAGTATCTTGGGGAAGACAAAGGATCGAGATACAGATGAGATTGTTGACTTGACAAGAGCTAGGATGAGAATGACACGTGTGTGCGTTTATCACGTCGGACAGAAGTATGCATCAGACTCTGCTGGGATTGTTGGTGAGTGCTTAGCTGTTATGGCTTTTGAGTGTGCCAGATATCAAGTTGACTTCATCGCAGGTGATGGAAACAAGGCATGCTATTACAGCACACCAAAATCTCCAGGTGTCCCTACATATCAACACAGCCTTATCCAATTCTGGATTAACAGAATGGTAGGTGTTGCAACACAAGCCATGCGCAAGAATTTTGATCCAACTTGCCCTCCAATCAGGGTCAAGCATTTCATTTCTTGCAGTTATCGTGACTTGGATTTTCTTGCAACGCACTTGGATGGCATTACAACAGCAACATACACCGACGAGCTCATGAACAAGACAAATGGTAAAGGTGATTGTTGTATGTTAACAGGTGTTGAGTGGGGTCATTCACGTTTGATGTGTGAGGAACACCCAGAAGACTTTGAGGATGAAGATCACATGAACTATGTGGGTGAATTTTACTTCAAGGTAAATGAAACTTGCTTACATGGTGATCACAACATCTTCATGGTTGCTCCAAATGATCGCGATGCTCATAATCCAATTCTTATCCATCTTGATCCTTCTGATATGTCATGGAATGAACGACATCATTACAAACAGGCCTACAAGAAGAAGCAGTATGCTGATTCAAGAAAAGAAAGACAGAAGGAGAAAAAGAGAAAGGCATATGAAGATCAAGCATCGACGTATCAGGGCAACACAGAGTGGGGTGGATCCTCATCTTCAGCGTCCAGACCATGGAGATCAAGTGAGTGGCGATGAGTGAGTGTACACTTCTTTAATTGAAGATAACACAGCATGAGAAGCCGTGTACAGTTTTTCTGTGCGTTCAACTTATTTCACACAGATGGCATATACTCTTTTAGATAGAGATAATGCCACAAGTGTCTGAACTTCAATTTAATGTAAAATAGAGACTCTTGTAAATAGAGATACTATATACATTTATCTCCATGAATCATCCGGCGAGCAGACCACTCCGAATGGAGCGAACTTCAAAAATTTACCAACTTCGATTTCAGTCCATTGTTTGCTTGAATGAGCAACTTTGGAGATCCGCTATTTCCGTTTATTTCGTGATTTGGTCAATTGTTTTCGTATGACCTGAATTTCTGAATCTTGCGAACCCGAACTTTTCAATTCGAACTTTTCAATTCGAACTTTCACCGGTAGAGCGAGGCATTTTGCCTGTGGAGAGACCGTGCGCGAAGCACCATTGGTCACTACTGGAAAAATTAGCGAATCCGCTGTTCTTTTTCGACATGTCCTTAGGACATTCGCTGCTTTCACGTGTTTTTCAATTCGAAGCCACTGCGTAACTCCGGTTTCTTTTGCTATTTGCCATTGTGTAGAGAAGTCAGGAAGATACTCTTAATACCAATTGGGTAAGTACGGCAAGGCGTAGTGCTCTACTCATTGCTTTTGAATTTGTGCCTGTGTTTTTGTTTCGACCTAATACCTACATAGGTACATGCATGAGTATTGAGCACATTTATATGCGCCTTCAAGGCTCAAGAAAGAGGTATATAGAGTAACCCTGTAGACAAGCACTGACCGGCAACAGGCTGAGAGTAAAAGAGTGCTGTCATTGGGGAAGACGCCTTAGCTGATCTTGAAGTAGACGCTAGGGCCCCTCTTCAGCCCTCCCCCCTGCACCCCCCCACCCGCTTTTATTTTTTAATCGGTTCCCCTTGCTACCTGCTATTCTTTTTGTTTTTCATAAGCATCATCGGTTATTTGGGTTCATTTTATCTTTATTGATATCCATCGAGATTTGTGCGATTATGTACTTCTTTCTTGGTACGCATTGCGGGCGGAGGCGCTGCGCCCTCCCCCCTGCACCCCCCCACCCGCTTTTATTTCTTAATTGACTTCCCTTGCTACCTACTCTCTTTCATTTTTTTCATAGGTATCGTTTCTTTGGGTTCATCTTCTCTTTCTTAATCTTTATTTATATCCATCGAGACTTGCGCCTGTGTGCTTCTTTCTTGGTACGCATTGCGGGCGGAGGCGCTGCGCCCAATATGAACATTTTTACGTCATAATTTTTTACGTTCATACAAATTCCGGTCTCGCCGCAATTTCCAGTCCTTCCATTAACGCCACTATAAGGACTAAGACAAGTATTAAATGACTCGACGACAACTACTACTACTAACGCCTACTCCTACTCCTCCTCCTAATCCCACTCCTACTCCTCCTCCTCCTGCTGCTGCTGCTGCTGCTGCTTCTATTGCTACTACAGATAGTACTACTGCTACTATTACTGCTACTACTACTACTACCACGACTACTACTACTACTACTACTACTGTTATTACTACTACTACTACCACCATTACTACTACCATTACTACTACCATTACTACTACTAGTACCATTACTACTACTAGTACCATTACTACTACTAGTACCATTACTACTACTAGTACCATTACTACTACTAGTACCATACTACTACTAGTACCATTACTACTACTAGTAGCATTACTACTACTAGTACCATTACTACTACTAGTACTACTACTAGTACTACTACTAGTACTAGTACTACTAGTACTACTAGTACTACTAGTACTACTAGTACTACTAGTACTACTAGTACTACTAGTACTACTACTACTACTACTACGACTACTACGACTACTACGACTACTACTACTACTACTTCTACTACTTCTACTACAACTACATTTGTTTTTTTTGATCATTATTTGTTTTTTTTGATCCATTATTATTTTTTTTTTTGATCCTTATTTGTTTTTTTTGATCCTCTAGCCACTACTGCTACTACTGCTACTACTGCTACTACTGCTACTACTGCTACTACTGCTACTACTGCTACTGCTACTACTGCTGCTGCTACTACTGCTGCTGCTACTACTACTACTACTACTCCTCATCATCATCATCATAATAATAATAATAATCATCATCATCATAATCATATCATTCATCATCATCATCACCATCATCATCATCACCATCACCATCACCATCACCATCACCATCACCCTCCTCTCCTCCTCCTCATCATCATCATCATCATCATCACCACCATTGATAATAATTGATAATAATGGATTATCATTGACCATCATTGATCACGATTGATCACCATTGATCATCATTGATCACCATTGATCATTATCGATGGTCATTGATCGTCATTGATCGTCATTGATCGTCAGTGATGATCGTTGATCACCGTTGATCATCGTTGATCATCGTTGTTCGTCATTGATAATCGTTGATAATCGTTTATAATCGTTGATCATCATTCGTCATTCTGGGAATTGGCTGCGCGCGTTCTCGGATTCTTCCCCATCAGGTGCTCCCAGCAACTCAGCAATGTTACACCTCATTTAACAGTTTGCTATGGAAAATTCCATGTTTGATAGGGAAATCATCGAATTAAATGGGCGATGGCTTCCATAGCTATTTTTAAATTACCATAGGGCACATCTTATCAATTTGTCTCAGTTTCACAATTTCTGCGGGAAGAGTGGGATAAAAATGATAAAGGACAGTCATTTCCAGACCATTCAAACCGCCAACCGCCAACCCAAACCGCCATGTAAGCATCCATTGAACATGGATGTATTGGAAGATACCGGACATCACTGTGCCAAAGATCTGCTTTCTTGAACAACCATCTGCAGGGATCCAGAAGCGTGGCCCCTTGCCACCTGGTATCCCGACACAGGCTGCAACTCGTCTACGACAACATCGTGGGCTTGGCGACTGCCGGAGTGGTGACTTGACAGTAATGGAATTTGGAACCAGTTGAGCTGGCGAACTGTCCATTTTAACTGTGAATTTACCCCCAACTTGGGGGCAATGATTGGCAATTTCAATGGGGGCAATGAATGAAAATGAATGAACATGCATGAAAATGCATGAAAATGCATGAACATGAGCGTTTCAACCAGTTAGTTTGGGGTTACCGTAGTTTCAGACAGACCATTCATTCATCCAGCGTGACGTAGCTATGGCATATGGCTCAAACTCTGGGAAACTCCGTGTTTCTTTCCCTAACAAATTGGGTGAATCATTAAACACCGCCATGAACATGGTAAACGTTCTGGCACAATACTTCTCTGCACCTTGGGTATCGATAGAATCTGTTAAACAGGCATGCATGGATTGTAAGGTCACAGTGGTAAAACCCCCCTTTCTCCAACCCAATGAATATTGGTCTGAATTTCGGAGATACCCCCCAAGTCATGGCAATTGAAACATAGAAAAAAAAGAGGTTTCTTAAACCACTGAAATCTGCAAGGGGTATTGACAATATTGAATGAAAAAAAAACACTTCAACCAAGTCCCAGACTCTCAACGGGGTTTCCATGAAATTTTCTGGATTGAGGGAGAGTTTTCTTTTCCGGTTTTCCCGGGTTTTCCCCTAAATTCTATACCCTCAAGTACTAGGTGTCTAGAATGGGGGGGCCCTGGGGTACCCAGGGGGGGGGGGCTAAGATCCCCCCCCCCCCGATATTAGACCCTTTGGAGGCTCTCATTTTAGACCCTTGGGACCCCTTAGTTATGTGGAATGATGATGATGATGATGGTGATGATCATATTAAAAACCCTAGTGCCAACCTACCTTGTGCAGATAATTTGTCCAGGCATCACCTTGACCATAACTCCTATTTAAAAAATCCACAAATTCGGTCTTATTTCGACGACCCCCTTTCTTGTTGCACTATGCAGCTGGTTTATGCTGGTTTCAGGTCCGGGGAGGTGTCCGTTTTCTTGGAGAATGTTTTTTGGTGAAAGGCTTGTTTTGTAGACCGTTTTCTTGGAGAATGCTTTTTGGAGAATGCATCACATAGCACGCTATCACATCAGATCGATCAACATTATATTTCAAAGGAAAAATAACATTGATTAGGTGAAAAACCATTGTAGAACCTTATGGGTGGAAAAAGGTATTGTTGATTATCACCCACCCAAAATACCCAACAATCCCCAGAAGCAGTGGGTTGAACACCACACAAGGTCTAAAATCATGTCCTTCATGATATGCCTGAAAAAATCATTGGTCCAATATGGGGTAAACCATTTAAGAACCTCATAAATTCTATAAATTCCAAAAAACCCTGTAATCAACCAGATTTGCATCACATAGCACGCTATCACATCAGATCGATCAACATTATATTTCAAAGGAAGAATAACATTGACTAGGTGAAAAACCATTGTAGAACCTTATGGGTGGAAAAAGGTATTGTTATTATCACCCACCCAAAATACCCAACAATCCCCAGAAGCAGTGGGTTGAACACCACACAAGGTCTAAAATCATGTCCTTCATGATATGCCTGAAAAAATCATTGGTCCAATATGGGGTAAACCATTTAAGAACCTCATAAATTCTATAAATTCCAAAAAGCCCTGTAATCAACCAGATTTGCATCACATAGCACGCTATCACATCAGATCGATCAACATTATATTTCAAAGAGAAATAACATTGATTAGGTGAAAAACCATTGTAGAACCTTATGGGTGGAAAAAGGTATTGTTGATTATCACCCACCCAAAATGCCCAACAATCCCCAGAAGCAGTGGGTTGAACACCACACAAGGTCTAAAATCATGTCCTTCATGACATGCCTGAAAATATCATTGGTCCAATATGGGGTAAACCATTTAAGAACCTCATAAATACTATAAATTCCAAATAGCCCTGTAATATCCTTGGATCAACCAGATTTGCATCACATAGCACGCTATCACACCACCTCGATCAACATTATATTTCAAAGGAAAAATAACATTGATTAGGTGAAAAACCCATTGTAGAACCTTATGGGTGGAAAAAGGTATTGTTGATTATCACCCACCCCAAATACCCAACAATCCCCAGAAGCAGTGGGTTGAACACCACACAAGGTCTAAAATCATGTCCTTCATGACATGCCTGAAAAAATCATTGGTCCAATATGGGGTAAACCATTTAAGAACCTCATAAATTCTATAAATTCCAAAAAGCCCTGTAATCAACCAGATTTGCATCACATAGCACGCTATCACATCACCTCGATCAACATTATATTTCAAAGAAAAATAGATTTGATTAGGTGAAAACCATTCTGCAATGACCATTGTAGAACCTTATGGGTGGAAAAAGGCTTTGGATGGTTTCGGTTTGTATTTTGTGAAGGTAGCATAGGGCTAAGTGATCTATAGTGATCTCACATATCATCACTCTATCATGACAAAAAAACATAGGGTTTAAGATATGATTTTAGACCCGTGCGCGTGGGTGTCTGAAGATTTTCTCCTGGCAATTGGTGGTTTTCCACAAGAATACCATCTTAGACCCAGTCCTGGGGTTCTAATATCTAGTCTTGAGGGTGCCTGGGTAGTACTTGATGGTATTAAATTCTCAGACACCCCATGTTTCAGTCCATCGAGTCCATGGCCTGTGCATGGCCTCAGGTCTCAGTTCTCCCTTCCGCGGAAGAGTTGTTGGAGGGGCTGTCACACCTCCGTCCGGGGCTCAGCCTCCGGGGTTACCCGGTATGGGTCCTGAAAAACCTCCATGGGAAGCTTCCAGGAATAGGATTTGGAAGATCATTTTCTAGACTTGGAAATGGATTTGATAGTCAAGTTCAAACCGGCCAAACCCATGATTTATTGATATTGTTGAGTAGAACCGTGCCACCCCATTCCACTTTGCTTGAACTGCACGTCCCCAAAACATGGGTTTGGACGGTTCGTTAGGTTTCTGGGCCCACTGGCAGAGAAGAACTATTCTTGGGTTGGTTTGAACATTTTGAACCACCAAAGCAATGCCACAATGTCTTGGGAGAATTCTGCGTGTCTGAAGGCTTGACTCTGAAGACGGAGCAGGAACTCTCGGCGTGTCTGTGGGTGCTGGAAGCAGCGCTAGGCCGGAGACCTCCCCTTGGAGTGAAGACAACTGGAGACAATCTGCCGGAATTTTGGGCGAGACTGATTGAATTGGGGATGTGAACCAAGATTACTTGGACCTAGATGGCACGTGTTGAATTTCGATTCATTTTCTAGTTGAAACATTGCCTGAACGTGCTGAAGATCTTTCCCCTGGCAGAGTGATTTCACAACAGACAACCATCACTAGACGCTAGGTGTTGGCCACATGACGAAATATTTTCCCGAAAGGTCATCAAACCGGAACTGAGCGTGTCACCCGTTATGCCCAAATCTGCCCAGGCAGCGGTTGCTCCTCCTTTCCCAGCTTCGAGGCCTTCCTGTCCATGGCTGGAGTGCGGCGGCTCGAATCCACACCAGGCGGATGAAACTCTCAGGTACCCATTTATTTCCATTTATAAACGTTTTTTCCTCACATCCAAGGGTTCAAAATTAATCAAGGGTCACATGTTATACTAGTGGCGCTGATCTGTTCAATTAACATTCAGCCATTTCGAAAAAAACCGTGAGTCAAAGAAGCTGAACTTGGCTCTTAAATTTACTAGAGAAGAACCGCCATCCGGATTACTTACATTACGGATGCCAGAGCCCACAGTGGATCCCACAAGCTATTGAAATCAGAGTAGGCCCATGATTTTGCGACAGAACATTCTACCAGGTTAGATTTGCGATGGATCCTACTTTGTCCAACATTAGTTTGCGATGGATCCTACTTTGTCCAACATTAGTTTGCGATGGGACCTACCCAAATCCATCTCAAAATGATGCCAAATCTAACTATGGCCATGGTATGTGCTAGCAAGGTTTAACATGATTTGTCTCAAAACTCTAGGGTTTTGAGTGTTAGGCAACAGTTTTGGTTAGAGATGGATTTGGGTAGGCCCCATCTCAAACACAGCCTGCCAGACTGGCAAGCCTTTTCAGACACATGTCCACTACCAATACCCCTAATACTGGCAGGCTGTGTTTGAGATGGGGCCTACCCAAATCCATCTCTAACCAAAACTGTTGCCTAACACTCAAAACCCTAGAGTTTTGAGACAAATCATGTTAAACCTTGCTAGCACATACCATGGCCATAGTTAGATTTGGCATCATTTTGAGATGGATTTGGGTAGGTCCCATCGCAAACTAATGTTGGACAAAGTAGGATCCATCGCAAACTAATGTTGGACAAAGTAGGATCCATCGCAAATCTAACCTGGTACCCTGCAAGTCGGAAGGTCAAGTTTTACGAGGTCTTTTGCAAAAGACCAAGTTTTACGAGGTCCTCTGGTTTACTTGATTTTATAGAGCTCAGCCCTTTTTCCCATCAATGCTGAATTTGACTTGAACCCCATTTGAAACTGTTGATGCATGATTGGGAAGCAATCAATCACCTACAGATCATAGCCCCGAATGGGCCTTTCCAAGTTGCAATGAACAGCCACTAAGGCTGACATTCCGGAGCATATGCAAAGCAAATTCGTGGCGTTTCCCCTCAAGAAATTATATGTTTGGCAGAAATTTCCACACTGAAAAAATGGTTCCTAGGGTTTCACGCTCGGTTCACGCTCGGTTCACGGTCATAGTTGGCCTTTTGCCAGTCATAGTTGGTCTTTTGCCGGTCATAGTTGGTCCGGTTCACGCTCGGTTCACGCTCGGTTCACGCTAGCGATTCTGGGCCCCTGATAATTCAAAAACCATACGTTTGTGGTGGTTCCAGCCCTGGACTCCCAATGATAAAATAGTGTGGGGTACCCTATGATAAACCGCAAATTGGATATTTGGTCGGTGAAGGGATGTGGCTATCCTGAAATTTAGGTCAACAATTATGGGTTTATGCATCTTATATATTACTGTTGGACATCCATGGCCATCATCTTAACTTTGGACCCAAAAGGTCCAAGTAATAGTAGGTCATAGTAGGTCCTCATCAAGTAATAGTAGGTCCTTTTCAGCAAAGTTAAAAGGCCAAGTTTTACGAGGTCTTTGACCTGGAGGGGTAGAATGTTCTGTCGCAAAATCATGGGCCTACTCTGATTTCAATAGCTTGTGGGATCCACTGTGGGCTCTGGCATCCGTAATGTAAGTGGTCCGGATGGCGGTTCTTCTCTAGTAAATTTAAGAGCCAAGTTCAGCTTCTTTGACTCACGGTTTTTTTTCGAAATGGCTCAATGTTAATTGAACAGATCAGCGCCACTAGTATAACATGTGACCCTTGATTACTTTTGAACCCTTGGATGTGAGGAAAAAACGTTTATAGTGGATTTACCGATGAAAAATGGTGATTTTCCAGTTCGTTATGTCAACGTTGACCAGACGGGTCATTTTCAGCATCTGGACAACGGTCCATTGAGTTCGATGATTCGCGGGAAAACTGGCCAGAGGGTATATCCTCATATTGTTATGGGGAGCAAACATCTATTGAATCTATTTATCAATATTTTCATGGTTTTTTGCTCGATTTTTGGATGATTTTGCCCAGCCAAACCGCTATGATCTTCCCCTTTTTTCCATGGCGCCTAGGCGGCAGAGCTGGAGACGCTCAGCGATGCGACTCCTCCGTCCTCGGTGGCTCGGTTCGTGGGATTTCAATGATATGTTGGGATCCATTATATATGAGGGCTATCTATCAGTATCATGGATCTCGTATATTTTGCTGAGTTGGTTAGTACTACAGAATTACAGGGATTCTTTGTAATTTTTCTGTGTTTTTTTTTGGTAGGGATTAGAATGAACATTCCTTCACCTAGTTTTATTGAATACCAACCCGTTGAATCGCTGATCGTGTTGGATCTAATCATTTGGGAGGGTTTGATGGGTTGAGTATGGTTGATATATCTTGATATTACAGGGGATTAGAGTACCATAGTTATCACACGAACTCCCCAGTAATATCAAGTCAACCATAGTTCTACATAGTTCTACTAATCGTTTTACGCCATTTCGTGTGATTTTACTGGATGGACGGATTTTGAAACCACCGGGGTCACCGGATCAGTGACCGACTCATGGCAGTAAAACGATGCGTGGGGACCTCACCAGAAATGTCTTTTTTTCTCCTCCAAATGGAGGTGATCTACAAGTCACCATGGATTTCAATACTAAAATGGTCTAATGACTTGGATTTGGTGGTACCCCCATGACTTAGAACACCTCCAATATGGGGAACCACTGCAAAGTGGACTTATTCGAGGCTTGGGAAATGCTGTTATTTGACCGGACGTCTTTTTGGGAAAGGCAGCAATTGGTGAACTTGGTGCATGTTCCGAAAGATGCTTCAAGAAATTCTAATATGGCTGTGGGTCAATCTCGAAGTATATACCCCAAAACGGCAGATTACTGCCAAAAATGGCCAATCAGTGATTTCCCAAGTAGCCGATCCTCGAATCGGTTGAAAGGACAATTTTCAAAAAACCCGATGTTTGGGAGTGGAAATCATTGTCTCCTGTAAAAAAGACCTTACACCAATACGTTGATGATCAAAATACATCAAAATATATCAAAATGATTGGCAAGATCCCCATTTTGAGGGTGACAATTTCAATCTTCATGAATTTTTCACCATGTTTGCAGGTGAAAAATCGTCATTTTGGCTTGGCCCAGGCCATTTCGATGGTCTCTTCGGATGGCCGGAAGCATGGAGAGCTCCGGGTGCAGTTGGAAGGCCCTTCTTTTCGGGTTCTACCTAGAATTTCGCCTGAGAATGGTCGGGTTTTATTATATATATACATACACCATAATATATATATATAATATATATATATAATATATAATATATATATATAATATATAATATATATATAATATAATATATATATAATATATAATATATATATATAGATACTATAATACTACAAGCTAAGGGCACGCGTATGGTCTGGACTATAGATAGAAATTGGGACTATAGAATGAAAACCAGCATACAAATCACAATGTAAACATAGAATCGAGAAAACAGGGCATGCTTACTGTCCATGATGCGCAGATAACGTGACAGTATTCATCACCAGTCCTATGGCTTCCATGGCTAGGGCTGCTCTCGGGGGGCACGTCTCCAACCAAGAGCGCCAAGAGCTTCTTGTCGTCAGAGGAGTGTTCTTTTTCCGCTCAACACATGGGCCAAGATCAGCATTTTTAGGCATAGTACTATGATAGGTTTATCTATGTTTATCTGATTTCACCCATAAGCATAAAGCCATAGGATGCCATAGTACCATGATGGGTTTATCTGCACCCAAAGATGTCAAACATGGTACACCCATTGCCGCATAGTCCCAAACGGCCCAAGCGGGGACGACTTCGGTGGTGCGCCCAGTAATGGGATGATGTCAAATGACCCCAAATGGAGGAGTATTGAGGATACGACCAACATGAACTCAAGGATATATATATATATTTATATACATATATATACATATTTATGTTTATATATTTATATTTATATTTATGTTTATATAATAATAATAGCAATAATAATAATAACAATAATAATAATAACAATAATAATAATAATATTAATAATAATATTAATAATAGTATAAATAATATATATATATATCTATATATTTTACACTATATATATATAATTTATAGGTATCTGCAAGAGAATTCGCCCAAAGATGGGGATTTCCCGCAGCAACGGCCAAGTCATGGTGTCCTTTTGGTGGCCACCCTCCAGTACTGGGTTGGATCCCAGATGGATTCAATCCTCAAATGGGTTGGCTCAAAATTAAAGACCTGGGGGACCACAGTCTACTTTCAGTCTACTTTTGGTTAAAAATCCATATTTTTAGGGATACCCAATTTTGACTCATACCCAAATGATGTCCCACAAACATGGGCATGTCTAGATGTTAACACATCGAAAAGTCAAGTCATTAATTAGTTTACACCACTGGGACGATTTCATATCCCAAATCACCTTCCCAAAATGGATGATTTACTAAGACGATTTTCCCAATGTTGGTTCAACCATTGGTCCACATCATATTCGCAACAAAAGATGACCATGGCCGTTGGCAGTGTTAGGAGTCGGGCCCAGCCTTAGAGGTGCCAAAGGTCGCAGCTCAAGAGGATTGCGCTTTTCCAGTTTTTTCTTAAGGGTTGCTCTATGTGTATATCATTGGATTATTCATGACATTGAATTTTGGACTACATGACACTACATTGCCCTACATTACATTACATAGATACTGGAATGTTCATTCATTGCCTTACACTACATGACACTACATTGCCTTACACTACATACATGAATGAACATGACAATCGCGTAAAGTCACTGGAATTTTCCGGCCATGTAAAGGGTACCTTCGCATCCCGAAGAGCTGCCCGGAAAAGATCTGTCTCGAAAATTGGGAACACCCATCATGAACGGTCATGAACCATTGTGACATATTGTGACATATTGTGACAAATATATTCCAACCGAAACTTTTGGGGGAAAAAGGGACAGACCCAGATGGTTCTATTGCTTCATCATGGTTCATTCAAAACAAGGACATAGCATCGGTGTTTTGGTTCACCCCCAAGTTGTGAAGATATACAGACATCATGGTTCCCAAACATGATCAAAGAAAATGGGATAGAATGTAGCAAGGCTGTTCAATCGTCCGCCTTCAGATAGTCTGATCAGGTCTTATGAACACATCTGCAGCAAATCATGGATTTCACGAAGCAACACGTGCATTTCCAGCAAGTTTTCCCTTCGGCAAAATAAACACGAGTTCCCATTGAACGAAAGTAATGTTGCTGAATAACCAATGATTGTTACAATGGTAAGTCTGAGTATTACAAAGAATTACTACCATAGCTATTGGTTATTGAAAACAATCATGGGGTAATTGAACAATCATTATGTAAGCTATTGGCAACCCGCTGGTGATCTCCCATCGAGGAGTTCGAGGATTCGGAGGTGGATCTACCCCCAATGCCCAGCGTGGAGCAGCGGTTTCTGTGGCCCGGCTGGGTGGCAGATAGGGAGGATGTGAGATTTGGAAAGTGGTGAATCAAGCCGCAAGAATAGTAGTTTTGTGGGACATAACTGATTTAACTGACAAAAAATGTGAACCATGAACAAGCAAGGATTTAAGCACTGAATATAGTGGTTGAATGGGTATATCATGGGATATTTACCAACTTGATAGGAGAAACATGGGCGTGGACTGGCGTGGACCTGAAAATGGGAGATAAGGAGAATGGCAATTTTGCTATGGCGAAAATGGTGATGAACTCGTGGTTTTGGTGGTAGCCTATTTTCGCGCAAACCCATATTTAAAGGCTTACGCCTGACAGCCGGGCGCCGGCCAAGCAATCTTGGCACCATGTTGGCCCTATGTTGGGCCTATGTTGGCCCATGTTTAGCCATCTTGGGAGCTATGTTGGGGCCATGTTTGAGCCATCTGTGTTGAAACGATCTTAAGATGCCAATTTTTCCGCCCGGGCCCCCTCCTGGAGCCCAAAACCACGTAAAAACCGAGGTTTTGTAACATCGCCAACATGAATTCCCTTGCCGCAGAAGGGCCCGAAACACCGTAAAAACCGATGTTTTTAAACACCACAAGCAAAAAACACCGTAAATTACGTAGGCTTCAGTGGGATGGGGGTACACACGGGGTGGGTCGGGGCCGGGAGCGCCTATAACCTTTGGTTACCACCGAAGGCCTCCGGCAATTGATATCTGAGCGTATCTACATAAAGGGGCTACGCCCCTTGCCGCCGACCCCAGAGGCTTAGCAGCTGGTATTCAGAAACGATAAAGAACCAAACAGATCTGGTTCATGTGAGAAGCACTTGCAATCATGCAAATGCAGTGCATGCATTTGCGGGAGAGGGAGCTAGTCAGATTAGTACGTGGCTCTTACCGCTCGCCGTGCAGTGGTTCCTCATTTATCCATGCAAACAGAAACAGAGAAGCAATCACCAAAACAAAAGAGGGCGAACGTGATACTGCACCAAATGTCGGCCACAACAAGTTCTGTAATTATTGGAACTTCTTCACTCATACACCATTGGCCTCCTTGCTTCACTACATCTACAAAATCCCGTGAAAGCCTCTGAGCTCACTAACTCCCAGCGATCAGGCCTTCAGTCCTTTGAATGCTACTGCGTGACGAAAATGGTCCCCAACCGGCAGCGGCCAGCGCCGAACGTTACTTCCTGAACTGACAAGAAACTAGCTTCCAATTTGGTGCTCTTAGCTCTTGCACTTCCCTCTTGCCCAGGTCCCAGCCTGTTCACGGCGGTCTCCAGGGCGCTTGCGAAACAGCAAATCACCATGCTACTGCGTGACGAAAACGGTCCCCAACCGGCAGCGGCCAGTGCCTAACGATGCCTAACGTTACTTTCTGCACCGACAAGAAACTAGCTTCAAATTGGCCTGTTCTTGGCTCTTGCGCTTCCATTTTTTTGAACCGACAAGCAACCTTGCGTATTGGGTTTCCCTCTTCGTGGTTCTTGCGCTTCTTTCTTGCCCAGGGGCTCTTGCGTTCTTTCTTGCCCAGGTCCCTGCTTCAAATTTTGCCGTTCTTGCCTCTGCTCCGGTTTTCCTTGCGGCTCCTCTTACGCGCTCCCCCAGCCGTCGGCTGTGGTCGTTGGATATTCACACGTGAAAATCGAGATAGCTTTGTATAGACACGCAACCGTAGTTCACCCTTCCAAAATGCGATACCATTAGGATCCAAGGAACCCTCTCATATCACTGGGGTAATTCTACCCTGGACATAGGGTTTGACAAAAACATGCTGGGTGAAGGAAAATCATGAAGAACCAATGTTTTTCCTTTGAATTTGGGTCGTGTTGTATGATGGGAAAAAGACAATACAATGGCAAATTTTTGGAAGGTCCGTTGAGACTCTGGGCCTCTTGAGTTTTGAGGGTTCATGGAGAGCAGATATTGCAGGAGCTGTGGGGGGTCAGCGATGGTTGACATCCCAGCTATCAGAAGAAACCCCAAAATCAGTCAGACCAAACTGGATCACAAAATTGTTGACCCTGGGGTCCACAGCTTTAGGACAATGCTTTGGGTGGCAATAGTCCACACCAAAATTTATGCTAGCTGCTAAACATCATTTGCAACTTACTTGGTGGCTCAAGTTTCCATTACACCATGTCCAAATTCCATGCATGTCAGGTCGAAGGTCTCGAATGTGAGCAGCTTATGAGTGCCGAAGATTAGTCCTTGAGAACAGACGGAACGCCCGAACATAAATAACCCCAAGCATTGAGCCGAAGGTGCTTCCCATGCTCTTGGTTACTTCTAAACAGCAGATCTTGGGGATAAAACATGATAAAAGCAATGACAAATCATCGAAATCATCGAACACCACTTCGAAGTTCATCCCAGCCCAGCAGTGTTTTTTTTTTTTTTTAAAGTAGCCTGCCCCCAACCAGCGTTCCAAACTCACCTTCCGAAAAAAAACCGGTCCCGGCTTCAACACCGCCTCAACGCTGAACGCCATGGGGAGATCGTTGCGCAAGTCACGCAATGCCAAGAAGGTCTCGCAAAAGGTGAAGGAGGGAAAGAAGATGCGATCCTAGGTGGAGAAAAGCATAGTTTGGGTGCTAAACATAGACATTTCACCATGGTGTTATTACCGACCAGCTGGGATGATGGATTTCTATCACCTATCTTCTGCGTATCAAGCGATGGCCAGGCCGAGAAGTTCTCAGTTGAATCAGTTGAAACTGACCACAGTTGTTGCACGTCATCTTGGGATAGTTACGGATAGTTCAATCAACAGAGAAAATCACCAAAGCTTTGTTGTGACAACTGGGACAGCGTTTGAACACACGAACAAAATGCTGATGTCATTGACGATCAATCAACTCTTGCATACCTTGGAAACTATTTACATCCCACCATGTATATATATATATATACATATCATTCTATCCCAATAAATGTGGTAAACCATGGTAAACCGAATAAGAAATGATCCATTTGGGGATGATGTAATTTACCACCCACGGGCCTTTCACGGGTCAACATTTTCCAGGGATCCGGCTGAGGAAAGCACTTCAATCCGCGGCACATCCAGGACCAGGAACTGCGGAAGCGCTTCGACAAGAATAAGACGCTGAAACAGAACATGGAGGCCACCAATTTGAAGGAAATGTACAAGGACAGATGTCTGATGATGTCTGATGATGTCTGATGATGTCTGATGAATCTCTGGAGAGATTTTTTTAAAACTGCTTTTTGGGGAGAAATAGTCTTCCGACAACTAGACCGACCACATTTTCCGTGTTGTCGTTTTTGATCTTGAGATCGACGACCTTGCAGTGCAAGTTACTGAATGATGGAGAGAGATGCAAGTTGCCTCGACTCATGACGCTGCAGATTTCGACAGGTGAAATGGATATGTCCAAACACGGCTGGCCCTTCCCAAGGGAAGCGCAGCTTCAGAATGGTAGGGTACAATGGGCTTCTTCCCATTTTGAACACGAAGAACATGTGGATGAAACATGGGCTGGAGAATCCCCCCAAAAAACGGAGCTTTTAATGGATCAACTACCCTCTGGTTATGTCAAAATAGCTATTGAAAATGGCCATTTATAGTGGATTTACCCATTAAAAATAGTGATTTTCCATAGCTATGTTAAATTACCAGAGGGTATAAATGGTGGATTTTCCAGCCATGTTTGATTCCCAGAGATTTTCCAGCCCATTTCTGGCACGTCTTCCTGGGTTGCTGTCCCAGGAGAGGCTTCCCAAGAAGATTCCCAAGAAGGCGGCGCATCCAGTCAAGGTGAACGAAGAGGAGGCACCCATCTGCAAGAAGCAGCCCGGATTTGCTTATCATTTTTTTTAATTATTTGTTTTTACAGTACATTTTTCCTCATTTTAACCATCTTCTTTTTCACTGGGTGGATTGTCTGGAAAAACATAGGCCTGAAAAGTTATCTGATTCACTCCAAGGCTGGCAGAGAAATATGGCGAAGACTACGAGCCGCTGGGGCTGATTTGATGGAGGCAGTCCAACCAATTTCCCAAAGGATAGAACCATGAAACCAAGAGGACCAAGAGGGATAAGTGAAAAGGAGATACCACGGCGAAGAGTCTCCAAAAGGATCCCCAAATGGTCCGGGTCATCCTAGACCAACACTTAGAGAACGGTCATGTGCTATCCGGGCTATCCGAATATCTCCATTCCTTCCTTGTCTTCCGGCATGCGCCCCCAGGGACCTGGTCATCTTAGTAAAGCAATAGGATCCACCATCAATTTGACCATTTTGGTGGGATTGAAACCATGAACATTTTGCTGGTTCCAAGCTTTCCCAGGTAGCAGTGGTATATATAAATGGTACTAGTATGCACAAGTGGTTCGCCGCCGTTCGCGTTTCAGGAAGATGCACTGGGATGTGAAGATCAACGTTACCTGGAGTCGTTTGGGGAGTCGTTCGGGAAGATCGGGGGATGGAGATGGCGAATGTTGTGGCCTTGGGTCAGAATTACCGAAGGTGATCCGCAAACTGTGGTGGTTTGTTGGTATCACGGTATCAATCATATCCAACTTCACCACGAAAACACAAGACAGTCGAATGAGCTTGGAGATGCCACTTTCAGGTATGGTTTGAGTTGGGGATCATGGTGTTGTCGAAGTTAGGCACCAAAATCATGAGCCAAATCTCGACAAAGAATGCCTTGAGGTCTTCCAGTGGACCACGCGCTTCTGTGAAAAGAAGGTGAAAGCTTTCAAAGCTGGGCACTTGAGGTCCATGAAGGTCCCCCACGCGGTTGTGGAGATGGGCCGTTCCCCCAGTGATTGGAGATTGGAGTGTGACCCCGGTTGTTATGGGCCATAGCTGTTGGATTCATGGATTTACATGGATTTTTGAGGATGTTTGGAGCATTTCACAGGTTTCTTCACCATAAATCCAACACTTTCGGCGAAGTTCCAGCAAGTTGCCCAGCAACTCGTCAGGCTGAGATCCTGTCTGGCCACGGGATGGACTTTCGAAAACCCATGTATGGCAAGAGCAAGGTCGGGGCTGGGCAGGAGCTAAACAAAAATGGAAGAGTCATCACTCATCCTATGATTTTGCGCCTGAACATCTGAGAGTTTCAAGATTTTTTGTCCAGAAAACTTGGGACTTAAGGTGACTTTGCAGCTGAAACCACGTTTTTTTTCTAGTTTATTGGATGGGTTAGGGATGGAATTCCGATATTCTTTCTTGAGCCATGCCCATAACACTTGTGTCACATGACTTGTTGCACTATGCACAGAAAAGTTTCATGGTGGATTTTGCAGCAAGGGATCAGGCCTTTGAACATTGAACAGGATCCTTCAACTATGATGGGAAGTGCCCACCCAAAGAGATATGCCATGGAGGATGATTCCACGATGGGATGATCCTCTGCCAGGACCGCAACGTCTTTGGCCACTGAGAAGAGCCGCTTTCGGCAATTTTCGGGGTTGCGCTGCGATGGCCGAGCGGTGCATAAATCCCCGCGATGGGGCTGAGCCGTGATGTCAACTGTTGCAACGAGTGCTTGGGATGCTGGAAGTAGAAGCCAGTGGCCATCAGTGGTCCAGTTGCCGCAATATTCTAACTGTTCTGTGTCAATATCTTGTGGGTCGGTCAACTCTATGGATCCCATAGCGATACATATTAACCTGTATTTGGAAGCTAAACTTTGCATGGCGGGGCGCCTATCTCCCATGTCGCATCCATGGCATATCATGCCACCAGACAGCAGAAGTTTGTCAGTTACCTAGTGCTGCAGACCCTCTCCTTAAAAGGGAAAGGGCAGCTCACCATCAGAACAAAAAAGTGGGTTGATTCCGTACGTCCCTGAAAATCAACAAGGAGCAAACACCAAGCATGGCCAGATTCCTCAATACAATCATCAACCACATCCCTGGATTTGGGCGGTTCCATGTAAGCTTTTTAAAGGTAGCGCGGCATCATTTTTGTGACAAGCTTCTGCGAATTCACGACAATTTCTGGGTCATGTTGGGCGCAGTTGTTGGCTAGTTGGCTGTTTCTTGGCATCATTCTGAGTGATGTGGTAAGCCCAGAATACAGTTTTTTTTTTTCAGTTTATGCAGCAAACCAAATGGTAGAATCAGGTATAGTTTGTTGTTGGGTTTTGCACATCAAATCATTCTTTTTTTTTTTCGAGAGCTCTTTGGCAAGCCTAGAACCTTCTATATATATATATACAATGGCTCAATCGTTCTGAATCATGAAGGGATCGGTCAAGATCTTTCTGTACGCCAAGGGTTCAGATCACAACGGTCATGTTCAGTCCTTCAAATGACCAAACATTCTGTGCGTCCCAGGGTGTATTGGAACTTTGACCTCATGTATATAGAGAATTATAGAGATATACATTTACAATTTATATCTATTGTATATATATATATATGTATCTTAGAACGTATGTAACACATGTATTTCCCCCATGTTGAATAAACATACATGTGATGATTACTACACCTTGGCACATTGACCCTTCGCTCCGAGGTCCGAGTTGCTTCAGGAAGCTTTACGACATCTGAAGCCGCTGCGCCAAGAGGCGCTTTTCCCCATTTTTTGGAACATCTGCGAAGCACACGAATAGGCAAAACATATTGTAAATGTGAGTTGTCCATAGTTATCCCATGTATAGGTTATTTGGTACATATGAAAGGGCTATTTTTGTTCGTTAGGGGACATGGGAGAATGGGACAATTTTTCAATCTTACAGGTTGGTTGATGTGCAACTTTTTGTTACATGTGGAATTATCTATACTGTAAATTACTTTACTTCGAGTTATCCCCACCATGACATCTATACGTTTTGTTACTGTCAAATCTTCTGGCATTCTATCTGACATCTTATCTGGCATTCTCTCTGGCATACCGGCATTCTATCTGGCATATCTTCTAACATTCTATTTGGCATATCTTCTAACATTCTATTTGGCATATCTTCTGGCATTCTCTCTGGCATACCGGCATTCTATCTGGCATATCTTCTAACATTCTATTTGGCATATCTTCTGGCATTCTATCTGACATCTTATCTGGCATTCTCTCTGGCATACCTTCTGGCATTCTATCTGGCATATCTTCTAACATTCTATCTGGCATATCTTCTGGCATTCTATCTGGCCGTTGAGGTCCAGCGGTGCACACTGAGCTGGGAAGGTCCCAGGTTGAGGTCCAGCGGTGCACACTGAGCTGGGCAGGTCCCAGGTTGAGGTCCAGCTGGGAAGGTCCCAGGTTGAGGTCCAGCGGTACACACTGAGCTGGGAAGGTCCCAGGTTGAGGTCCAGCAGCGCACACTGGAGAAACTGGAGGAGGAGGAGGAAGAGGCGGAGGAGGAGGAGGACGAGGAGGAGGAGGACAACAGCTCTGATAAAATCTAACAACCCTCACCTGGCAGGTGGGGAATTATAGATATAGATTAATGGGGCATAGGAAAATTAACCAGCCAGAACTACGGTGGTCTCTTTTTGCTATATAAAGGATGTACAGGTTGGTTAAGGGGTTACCCGGTTATCATTCCTCCAACTAATGTAGACCCGGCCATGTGGAATCTTTTCCATTGCAATGTGAGCTTGTCACAGGGTAACGCGAGGTTGCGAACTGGTTTGTCATGGAAACTCGAAGCCAAATATGTTATCCATTCTATTTCTATTCTATGTTTCTTTGCTGATTTGTGGCTCCATTGCTCGAGGGTCCAATTCGAATTCTAATTATCTAATTTATGAGCCCGCTTCTCACTGGCTGAAGAAACAAGAGGGATACTAATCCTTCCGAATAATTCTGTGGACCAGTGGAACCTGACCCAAGTGGGAAACTGGTTGTATTGCAACTATTGTAACTATCCAAGGCCTCCAGCGTTTTATCTGACAGTATTATTAGTATTGGATTATTGGATTTGCCTCATCCAAAAAAATCTGTGCAAGTTTTAGGCCAGGCCAGGCATCATTCAAGACACCTTCCTTGGGTTGTAAGGTGAGATCTAAGGGCAGGAAGATCTTGGATTTCTTGGAGGCGAGAGGGATCCGTTTTTGGTTTTTGGAGTGGGGATCATAGAGTTTTTGGCTATGCAAAAGTATGTTTTTTAAGTGTGTAAAAGTAGGGAAAAGTCATCCTTTTCCGGAATGAGTTTTGATACCACCGAATGGAAAAATTCATTGGCGTTTTCACATTATAGAATGGTTTCCTCCGGCGTTGTCAACGCAGACTTATCTCTGGGGTGAACCTGGCGTCAACTGTGACGGGCATAGAAACTGTTGAATTGTAAACTTCCCAAGTATTGCCCTATCACTTTAGGTGCCTGGCTTCGGTTTGGGGATTTGACCATCAAATATGGGTGTGTATATATATATATAGATGTATATATGTATATATATATATGAAACATACAAACATACATACATACAGACATACATACACATATATATATACATATATATAGCACCAACAACGGGTGAGTTGCCCAAACATGGAAGATTCCCATCTGGCCGCAAGAAGTTTTTTGCGGAGCTGCAGGAGATGGTGGCTATGTTTAATATTAGGGGGACGAGATGATTCATAGGTTCCTTAGGTTCAAAGTTGTATGGCCAACCGGATTGGGTGGGCAATACTGGCTGAATCAGGGTCGCACTGGGTGAATTCTTTGCCAGGAGCTTTTGGAGCAAAGCTGCGGAAAGGCAGAGGATGCAGGGGAGCTTTCCGATGTCCGCAGATGAAATGTTGGTCTTCCGTGGTCTTCCAAGCTGGAAATGGAAGATCTTCCGTGTGAAACTTGTGAAACCATTTCTGATTTTGTTTTCTCATTCGCCAAAAACACATATCATGTCTTTAGGAAACCATAGACATAGACCCTGAGAATCTCATATTTTTTTGAGGAAAGTAGTCTTCCAACCCCATATTTGGCGGTGTATGTGTAAGTTGGAAACTTCAGGTGTGCAGATGCAGAGTTTATCTGATTCCATCATTGTCTAAGTTTCAAAGCCCACACAAAATCATGATTCTGAAAGGGGAACCATCCATCATCTTCCATTCTGATGGGTTTGATTCTTACTTCCCGCACAAATCTCATTACTTTCCAGTAAACTACGATTAGACATGGAAAATCCGCCATGATTTTTTAATCATTTCCAAGGGCAACCCATGCATTCCACTAGCTTTTCCCATCAGCTCGGCTGTAGGAGTTGGAAAATACCTTGGCAGCCGCACTGCAGAGTGCTCAGCAGTGCAGGCTTGGTGGCTTCACTGCACATTGAACACCCATTTTTTTGGGGTAATCAATTCAATACGCAAAAACGAAATGCAGGGTTTCGTAAAAAATCATGACGCTCTTCAAACCTATTGTTGGTCGGTTTCACAAGCATTTCTGATACATTCTTGATCATTCTTGGTGGTTTCAGTGGCACTTTTCCCAGTATTGAGCTCCCTAAGTCTCTGAGCCGAGTGTGTTTGCAGGTTTCTGCATGTTGTTGGCCATTGCTCAAGGAATTCCAGGTTCAATTCATCTCCGTTTTCGGTTTATATATATATTATATTAATATATATATATATTATATTAATATATATATATATTCCTTTATCATACCTCCGTATGTTTGCTGGTTACATCCCAATTTTGCTGATAAATCACAATAAAACTTTTTTTTTGTGGTGAAATCCTCTGAATTCCGTTTTGGTGGGTTCGATCTCCCGTTCTGAGAGGGACAAACTCACTAGCGTTTCACTTGGTGCAGCTGCAGGGAAGCGGTGAAGAAAAGCACGGGTGCCCAGTCGAAGGTACGGATGACATCGTATGAATATGATTATGGTTATGACTATATATGATAATATTGATAATCATGATGATGTTGATTATGTTAATGATCACAATATGATCTTCTTCTTCTTCTTCTTCTTCTTCTTGATGATCATGTTCATGGCTGTCCTTTTATCCCTGGTTGGTTGATAAATAGAGGCTGTATCCCAAATAAACCAACAAAAGGTGAATGATGGTAAATGGCACCGTCTATTTATAGAAAAAGGACACCTATGATCATGTTGATACTGAAAACAAGAAAGTCATCATAACGGGAGTGAAAACGCCCATGGGACACTTTTGGGGATCCTCGTTGAGCGCCGCTGCCTCGGCTCTGCAGCACGCCATCCCAGCCACTCCGAAGTTCAAAGCTCTCCACGTCTCTTGGCGCCGTGGGGTACGGGTTGGGAGCCGCCAACTTGGTTGTAGGAGATAACTTGGCATACCAAGGTTTCAGGAATTTCAAGGGGGTGAACCTTCTGTCAATCTTTGGTTGAACAATGTTGAACAATACTTTAAGAAGCCGCAGATACTGGGCATCCAACCATCCAAGTTGCCTATGTGATGCACCAAAAATTGAGGAATAAACTTGGCCCATCAACTTCGGAGCCACAGGATGCTTTCCAATTGGCAATTTTCGCGATGGGAAATAGTCATAGATCCTCAACAGACCTGAGGTTCAGGTGAGTCTTGGGACGTTCTTTCCGAGGACTTGAACTTGACCTGCAGTCTTGGGGGATCCCCAAAGTTTGTTGGTCTCTTGACTCACAGGTCAAACAATGAAGCGACAATACATTTTTGGCTCATTTTGGCTCATTCCAGCTGACCCATGAGGTTTGAGATGGAGGGCCTGGGTGAGCCAGAGGAGATGGGACCATGCATTGCACCATTGCACCACAGCTGGACCATTCATTTTTGAGTGTCTATGGTTTTGGTTAATTGGTGAATCCCTTGAAAGTAAGAGAGAATGGCTTCAGCATGGGAAGTCAAGAAACAAAAGCATGGAGGAGGTCCAATACATGCAACTCCTAAGCCATGGATCTTGCCATGCTGGATTTCCTGAACCCAAATGGCTATGGGGTCGTTAACCAAGGGCCAAACCATGGCCTGTAGATTTGATGAAGTGGACTGGCCCTAGTTTGACATCTCAAGCAACGGTTTTCGATTCTGCTCCGGTAAAGGTGACGATTTGGAGCCTAGTTCCCCGGGTCAAATTCTCCAGTTCGAAACCAAGGCCCGTCGCTGCAGGAGATTTTGATGTATTTTTCGAACGCGGGTTCTTTAGAGCCTCCCAGGTGGCGATGACGGATTTCATCTGCATTCTGAAAAATCGACATGCATAGACTGGTGCTGACCTAGACCTAACATCATTCTTGTTTGAGGATCCTTGTCATTTGTGGATGTGAAGACGCACTTGGAATACCCCTGGCAGTCTCCCCACGGTCACTGCCAGGCCTTACAAGCCGACGAAACTACAGTATCAGAACGCAACTTGGGCCTGGCAGGATCACCCCAGAAAGGGTCCATTGGTTTTGCAAGGCCTTCAGAAAGTGGATCCATACCCATTTGTATATTCTTGGGGGTTAGCATTACCCCATGTTGACCCTGAATACCACAGGAAGGGGCATTCAGAAAAACGCTTGTTGGTTTAGTGTCCCCGATCTAACTATCTACCTTTACAAATATACATACACATATACACATACACATACACTGTATATATATATATATATGGTCCCGTGTCCCGTGTTCCCACCCCCCCCCCCATGGGATGGGGGGGGGGGTATGATGCCCCTGTGGTGGTGTATATACATACATACATACCTACATACCTACCTACCTACCTACTATACATACCTACGTACATACATCACATACATACATACATTACATTACATTACCTTACCTTACACATTACCTTACCTTACATTCCATACATACATACATACATACATACATACATACATACATACATACATACATACTACATACATACATACATACATACATACATACATACATACATACATACATACATACATACATACATACATACATACATACATACATACATACATACATACCAACATACCAACATACCAACATACCCAACATACCACCACCACAGGCCACAGGGGGAGGGGGACCAGAAGAACCATACCACCACCACAGGCCACAGGGCGGGGGGGGGACCAGAAGAACCATACCACCACCACAGGCCACAGGGGGGGGCCAGAAGAACCAGACGATACTGTCCACCCATACCCATTGGTGGGGGGGGGGAGGGGGGGTGGCCAACGCTGCACCATATATATATACATTCATAATATATATATATATATAAATATATATAATATATTTATATATATATAATATATATATATATATATAATATTATATATATACATACATACACATAGAATATATCCACCATAAATCCCATGCTTAGCCTAGATCAACTTACCCATTTGGGAGGCCCATTCCTGCATATTCTTTTGACGACACTTGACACCGCCCAGGCTGGTGACGGTGTTTTCGTGATCACCTTGAACGATCCAAAACGGCTCAACTGCATGAGTTCCTGGGCGTGAAATGGGCAAGCTTTGGACGTTCAAAACATGATCAAGTCCTGATAAGTTTCCCCAATTTGTTTGGGGGTCTTGAGTCAAAACAACGCCTTTTTGGTATTATATACATGGTTTGATTTTCTTGTTTTGGTTTTGCCTTCATCACCAACGACTACCATACTTTGGTTGCCACACCCCGAAGGTGATGGTCAGATGCATGACATACTTCATGTTGCTATGGGTCAATATCTAAGACCATCTAAGAACCACAGATTTCCCACAGGTTTCTTGAAATGGGCATCCCCAGTCGTCATTTCTGTTATGGTCATCCATGACTCGAGGCTTGAATCTCGTGCAAGAAGTCACTTGGCTTTTCACAGGGGGGAGAGATCCAAATGGCATACCCTCTTGTTATTCAACATAGCCATGGTATAGATGGCCCATTTATAGACGATTTTCCTATTAAAAACCTCCATTTATGGTTGGGATGTTCCATGGCTATGTTAGTCATAACCAGATGGGAACTATGGTATTATGGTGCAGTCAGAGTAACGGTCACTGTCATGGGATATGGTCCACTGGGCACTGGGCAGGAGATGAAGCGGTGGATTATCTAGGCATAGTTGATGACCCCAGGTGGTAATTCATGGTAGCCTCTGGTAATGGAAAACCATAGGAAAACCATAGGAAAATGGATGAAAATGGTGGTTTAATGGGATTTAATGGGATTTATTTGTATATATATACCCTCTGGTACTAACAGTTTGCTATTGAACATGGCCCAGTCGAAATCGTGGATTTTCCCATGAAAAATGGTGGATCTTTCCATAGTTATGTAAACGTTTACCAGAGGGTAATGATTGCAACATTGAAGGCCTGGCCTCATCTTACCGATGCCTTGGTAAGATGGAGATCAGCTCAGCTGAGGTGACATTGTTGGTCGCGCCCTGGCAGGTTGATAGGCTTCCACCATATGTTCGTCGCAGTGGAAGCGTTGGAAAATCCATCCAGAAATATGATGGTTCCTGACTTCCTGAAGATTGTTAGAAGGTTATTGCTTCATGCTGCAGGTTATGTGAGTTATTTATAGTTATTTTGGTGTGTGTGAAATAAGGTGCACATCCAACTTACAGGTCCAGTGGACAGGGATGGGATGGATGGGCTAAGGAGCACGCGAAGCGAGATGAACGATGCAAGATCATCGTGTTGGACGACTCAGCTGTGGGGATGCTTCCCAGATCTTTTAAAGCAAGGCTTAGTGTTTTTTTTCCCCAAGATGAATATCATCTACAAGTGTGGATCAGGATTTCTGATGAGCCATGGTTGCTTCGGGGTCAAACCTAAGATATGTAGAGAGCCTCTGACATCAATCAGAATTGGGAACATCACAAACCTGTAAACTTCAAATGATATAAGTTCAAGAGATACTGAGATACCCACATTTTTTTTGGCTGAATACCCTCAACTGAGCCAGCTGGTGTAAATCCCCTGGCCCTAGTTGCCCTAGTTCTTCAGAAGATTCAGCTGATAAATCCCCTACAAGGTGGACCCCCTAAGTCATGGGGGATCCCCAGTCGTCACCATGGCATCCATTGATCGGTTCCTGGGATGTCATCCAGAAACCTGGGTGGATTGTAGTGGCTCTGTTCATGAAGGATTTCTATGGCAATGTCGGGAATCGTTTATGACTCAAGCGGCTTGGGATTGTTAATCATACGTTGTTTTTGGAACAAACTTCAAGACTCAATCCCAATTTTTTCATGCCTGAACCACCTTTTTGAACCTTTTTTCATACACATCTCCCAGCAATTTGAATTCTTATGGTGAACTACTCACAATTGATGGGTGAAATCCTAATTCTTGAGGCTCAAAATCCCAAAAATTGATGATTATTCACTGTATAAACCAGTATAATCCCATTGTAACCCCATTAACCATCATTTAATCCAATTAAAATCCCATGTAATTTAATTTGAACCACTATAGTTCACTATAGTCTAGAGTATGGTTTACAATCCCATGATTTAACTCCCTCAACACATCCCATTTTTCACGTAGTTTTTGATGATCGGATGAGGTGGACGGGCGCGGGCCGCGCCTTCAGCGCGGGGGGGAACTTCACGGACACCAGCAGCACGGTGCCTGAGGAGGCCGCTGAGGGGGGTGCATAGTGGATTTTGAAGGGATTCGGACGACGTTTCATGGGATATTTTGAGGGATTTTCTGGGGATTTTCATGGGATTCTAAACCATACTATAGTGGTTTTTCATGGGATTATCATGGGATTATCATGAGATTATCATGGTTAATATACTGAATAATCCCTTCTCCGTAGTAAAAACACACATGGTGACTGCAGTGACTAAAACACGAGTGGGACCAGTTATGGGATGATCGAACCCGCAGCTGGAACCCGCAGTTGATGTTGAATACCACCCAAACAGCTGATGTTGATAGAGGATATGAATGGTAGCCTCTGGTAATGGAAAAACCATAGGAAAACCATAGGAAAATGGTGGTTTAATGGGATTTCATGGGATTTATTTGTATATATACCCTCTGGTGAACTAACAAAAAGCTATGGAAAATGGCTATAGAAAGTTCGTGGATTTTCCCATGAAAAATGGTGATTTTCCATAGCAAAATGTTAGTTCACCAGAGGGTAGAGGAGATCTACATCTATATATGTCAAAGTATCATAAAGTATCTAAATCATCTATATTCTACATGAATCCAGTGAAATGAAACCATGAGGGTTGAATAGACCAAAGATGGCAATTGGGGTACGCATTGTGGTCTGGAACGAGAGCTTTGTACAGCTGGTAGTTGGTTGACGTTTTAACAACTGTCCCTGGAGGCGCCTGCGAGGTGAAAATGTGTTAGATCTTCCACAATTTGTTCTATTTAAAGGTCCTGCATGGTTCATCCCTGTGGTCTGCCAAACCTACTAAGGTTGTTTGGCAAAGCTGTTGTAATTGCGCCACGTTCCCACATTCCCCGCATGGACCATGATGATTTGATTCCATCCCTGGTGGCATCAAACTTGTCAACCTCAGAATGAATATGTATATTATATATGGTTTAGCACCAAAAACGACAATTTTTGTATCTCCATTGGCACCCTGATTTGGATGAATTGACGTACGGTATGGTACTCAAACATGGCTTGCTAGAAAATATCCACACCGCTGCGAGGTCTTCGAGGGCTATATCCAGGCCTTGGGAGATCTGGGTGCGGCTAAGCCTTGGCTTAGCGACTGGTGATGATCCTGTCTGTTCGTTTGGATGTCTGGCTGGTTGGCCATGAATTAGCTAATGGGAAGCAATTTGCTGCACTCACCTACATTTGGTTGAAACCTCCGGTTTACCGGCACCTTTTCTTGACATCCAGCCTGTGACTAGTGTGAAACTATGTGAAACTCATGCTTGGTCTCTTCGATGTGCCTTTCAGCCATGATAAATCATGTGACGGCACTGATTTTAGCACTTTCTATAACAATCCCAGCATGATCATCCCAGCAATATGATGGTATTATAGCAATCCATATTGCTATACATCCCAAGATCATCCCATCCACTGCAATTCTACGTTCCCGATTCACCCTGGATGCCATCAGGAGGGTCTTGCGGTGCAGCCGCCAGACGTTTCCCTTGCAGGCACCACCCGTGCAACTTGGCTGTTTTTTTTTTGGCATTGACGTGGCCATGACATCAAAAAGTGGGATAATGTGGTAAACCCTAACCCCTAAACCATCCCCAAAACTATCATACATGGGTGGTATAAGCCATTACCAAATGCTAGCTTTGTTATCGGGTTTCCCACATTAGTAAAAACTAATAAGAGCCAGAAAATGCCAGAAAGAATTGAGGAAGAAGCAGCAAAAAAAATGGTAAACATCAAACATGCCGGCTGTGAGAACCACAATGAGGCATTCAGACAGGCACACTATGTCCATTAGCCAATACAGGTATAAAACATTGTAGGTGGCTCATCTGAAAACTGAAATACATCCCTCACAGACATGCGTTTGAAACAGTCTGTTCGCGAGGGCGGACTGTGTTTCTTTTGGGCTCCGCGCCATACTTTCCCAAATTTGATGGTAGACCCTCAATTATTACTTTCTGGATGATCCCGCACTCCACACAAACAAAGCCAAAAAAGTCGCAAACCATGCTGTCGTTGTTTCGCGTCTCTTGGTGTCTCTTTTGGGCCAACATCATATGGGTTGGTGTAATCTAGGCAGGTTCATATCCACCTCTTACAGTTGGATTGGTGGATGTGCATCCCAGTTAGTAAGTGGGGAACAACTCGCAACCATTCGCAACCCAGTTATGAGTTATAGTTGTGACGATGCGATGTATCCGAGTTAGATCACCACTTACCAACTGGGTCCCGCACCCCAAGGGTGATTTTGAGAGGTTTCCATCCCTGATCTCCCCATGTATATGAGTCTCAGCAGATGATCGAAGTGTCAGTTGCTCATGGAATCCAGTATTTACCGATTAGATCATGTTACACTCTGGCAATTTAACATAGAAAAGCAGCCTTTTCAACAGGCATATCTACGAATGGGCCATGGCTTCGTAAAATCCATGGATTTCATTGGTTGATTTTGATCTCCCCATTGATATGGTCATCATGTAATCACATCTCCAATATCAATGGGTATCATCTCCAACATACATACGATGATACCATCCAATATCCCATCCAATATCCCATCATGGGATTTTAATACATGGGATATTTAAGATATGGCCTAAATTTCAGGGGATATTTTCCTTTAAAATATGCCCTGAAATATGGTACTAACGTACCTCCATCGGTTCGGATCCTGAAGATCTCCCATTTTTTGATCCTCAGGAGATGATCAAATTCCCCAAGATTTCCATCTCTGCCATCAACGGCACCACCATTGGTGGTGGAATTAATCTGGGGCTCCTGTGGCAGGATCTCGACGCTTGGCGATCTTGGGGCCTGGTGGGGCTGTTTTGGGTCGTTAGGACCGGACCCATGCCTAGATTGCCTAGATTGCCTAGATTGCCTAGATTGCCTAGATTGCCTAGATTTTGATGGATTTTGATGGATTTTGATGGGCATCTCAGTTCATATCGTCCTTTTTCTGGCCAGAATCATCCTGCCTTTTGGGATAGACTATGCCAGCAGGCACCCCTGACTGTCAAACCCCTCGCGGAAAATAATAAGCACAACAATAGTCAGAATGAACATCATAACAATAATGTGCCATAATCATCCATAATCACAATGACAATCAGAAATCATCACAATGATAATCATAGCAATATCGTTTTGGACCATCTTTTCACGGGGCGAGTCAACGCCCATTTGCCAAGGCCTTTGTGGGGGAGGAGCTGCGGGTGGAAGGGGCATCACCTCATCCGGGAGTAATCACACCAGCCCAAGAATTGCATTCCAGTCGTGGAACTGGGGTTCCTAGTTCCTGCAGCTTGGCGACCGAAGCCAATTGCGAACCAGCTTTGTCTTCAAATCCACCTGTTTCCTGGTGATTTTCTTAGAAAATCGCTTTTCGATCCTAGATCTTCCCAAGCATCGCCGTTGGGTTTCGCCGTTTCGCCCCCAGGACGTGACCTTTCGCTATCCCTTTGGTGAGCTGGGACTGGTGCCCGAGCTGGGATCCTCCGTGCTGCTGCGGCTCAGCTGAAATTCATGGCTTGTACGGAATCCCAACCGCGCAACCCAGCCATGATGAGTATGCCATGTTTCTGACAACTTGGGCATTGTTTTTTTGAAGATTCTGCCATTTTGCGAAGATTTTGAATTCAAAGAATTCAAGAAACACAGCGAAAATGAGGTGAAACAGATCCATACTTGCAGGCTATTTATTTATTTTGTTGGTCTTATTTGCACATCTCTCAAGCTGTGATTGACCTGTCCATTCTAGGTGCTTGTGTTGCAAGTCTTTTATTGTTGAAATAGAATCATTACACAGATGTATACAAATATATTTATACATACATATGTATACTGGTTGGTGGTTTGAACCAGTTTTTATTTTTCCATATACATATTGGGAATGTCATCATCCCAATTGACTCATATTTTTCAGTGGGGTAGGTGGCCCCCACCAACCAATCAGACATGGAGAATCCCCCATCTGTTCGATGATATCAAGGCACTGTGATCATCTGCTACTAAAATGAAGGGCCCCAAGGATCAACAGCTTGGTTGGTGCAACGTTTGACCGAAGCAAAGCTATTTGTGTTTCTTTTTTTTAATTATAAATGCTGGTGACAGCTCCATTTTTATTGCTGACTTACTGGTGACTTTACCCCTTGGTATATAATTGAACCCAGCAACGGAATTTCAACACACACACACGTATATATATATATATATATATATATGTATATACATAATACATATTTGGAACAGGATTTCCAGCTACTGACAATGAGCGATTTTCAATTGCCATATGTGCTTTAAAGAAGTGCTCTCCAGCAACTTGGGCTTCCCTGAGAGTTTTCCAGTTTTCGTTTTGTTTGTCTACTGGAGAGTATCCCGCGGTTATACATCCCATTCTATGTCATTGTATCATATTATATCCTGAATATCCATCCATCCATACATCCATACATACAGACATACAGACATACAGACATACACACATACACACACAGACGGACGGACGGACGGACCGACAGACAGACAGACAGACAGACAGACACACATACATACACACACACATATATATATATATATGTATATACGGCACAATGCCTGGGCTTTGCCCCGAACCGCAAGGACGACGGGCAACGCATCATCATCATCATCATCATCATCATCATAAATTGAATGTAGTTTTTAACATTCCCTATTACGTTTGTTGATCTTCCCCGTTGAATGTAAAGTCTAATGGGGGTGGGGTTTTAACATTTCCTAATACCTTTGTTGATCTTCCCAATCGAATGTAAAGGTTAACCGGGGGTCGGATTCTAATATTCCCTAATACCTTTGTTAATCTTCCCATTTGAATGTAGAGTAGAGTTTAACGGAGGTGGGATTTTTATATTCCCCAATACCTTTGTTGATCTTCCCGATTTGACGGGGGTGGGATTTTAATATGCCCTAATACTTTTGTTCTTCCCAATTGAATGTAAAAATTAACGCGGGTGGGATTTTAATATTCCCTAATACCTTTGTTGATCTTCCCAATGGAATGTAGAGTTTAACGGGGGTCGGATTCTAATATTCCCTAATACCTTTGTTGATCTTCCCAATTGAATGTAAAGTTGCAACAACATTTGATTGGGAATTGGAACCCTCTACGCTGGGTGTTGCGCGTATATATATAATATATGCTATATATACATATATACATATAATTATATATCAATCATGTACATATATACGTATATGTATGTATGTATATATATATATATGTATGTATATGTGTAAACATGCATGATATTATATGTTAATCATCATTTTTCCTATTACCACGGCCTATCATGGATCACACAGGCCCCGTGTGGTCGGCCTGACGCGCGCAAAGCAACTCATGCAGTGCCCGCAGAAGGTGGAAATGAGGAGGCAAACTGTCTAGTGTACATAGATAATTCAAAGAATACATAGGTACTGTACATATATATATATATACACATACGTATAGATAAACTCATGTATATATATATATAGATAGATAGATAGATAGATAGATAGATAGAATTTTAGAATTTTGTACACGGACGCACACACACAAACACATGTATCACATATGTATATAGATAGGCCTTCTATATCCATCAATAGCTCGAAGTGGGGAAGTGGGGTCTCTTTAGCAGAAGGGCGGTGCCGTGGGGATTCCACCATTTAATCCATGGAGCATCCAGCAAACTAACATAGGCACGGACGTCCACCAGAAATGCTGATCAGATCATTCCTACGGAAATCATGGGTTTTCCGTATCTATGCCAGTTTGCCCAAAAGAGGTCCTGGAAAAAAAATCCGCCAAATGCTCATTGAACTATCCTGCTTGATTTATGGCTTTGTCTAGAGTCTAGAGGTCCTGTTTTTGAAACCCTGGCAGTCAACTGGCATTTCTGGCATACCCCTTGGCTGTATTGCCAGATGGTCATCGGGCCAGATAATCCCAACTGGCACAGGTACGGTTCAGAGTTCACCGCACAGCAGGCGCTGCAGCCTCTTGGAAGCAGACATGGGTGTGGGTCAATACCAAATCATAGCGAAATTTGGGTTGCTATGAACCCAACAATGACCACATTTCTGGCAGATTCTCCTCTTGATGTGACTCTGTGACTCATTCCCAAAATCGGCTCAGCAAACAGTAAGGCCTTTTTGGCCCAGAAAGGGGGATCTTTCAATTTCCATTTCAACTTTCCACAGAGGATATCCCCAAAATCGTGACCCCCTTGGCGGCAGCGAGGTGGGGACTTTGCACCGAGGTGGTTCCCAGCAAGGAGGCTGGGATGCTCCCGATCCTGATGCTGACTTCGGCTGACTTCGGTCGCAGGGGATCCACTGATTTTGGGGGTCGAAACCACAATACACATATCTTCGGTCCAGTTTTCCTATTGAAATCCCTAAATTTTGGGGATCCCAATGATTTGACCCATCCCCACTCTAAAGCACAAGCAGGTGCTTCCCAAAGCAGTGGAGGCTGCAAAGAAGATGGCTAAGATGCCACAGTCTGGGGCTGAGGTATCACTGTGGGTCGAAGTATGCTGAGAATGGAAACCATGGATTATTTTTGATACATTATGACACTTATCATATACACTTATAATGGAAACCAGTGTCATAATGGATTATTATTTTTGATACATTATGACACTGGATATCATTGCATCAAATACAACAACATGCGGCATGATTTTTCACAATAAACACTCGATTTGTCTTGAGTCCACTGGTACCACAAGTGGGTATTTTTCCAGCTGAAATCGGGATTGAACGATTGAACCAACAAAAGGGTGATCTCGTCAACCGAACTAGGGGATTTTGCCAAAAAAAAAAGGGATGAAACCCGAACCAGGACGGCTTCTCACTTGACAAAGTTGCTCTTGTCTTTTTAGTGATGCCCCCCGAATTGGCTTCAATTCATCCTTTTTTTTTTTTTTCATTTTTTGGATGCCCTGACTTTGTTGGATAGAACATGCTGGAACCCCTGAAATTTGCAAGTTGTACTGAGGTTCGCCCTGCGGGAGTCCAAACGCCTCCTACAGAAGGACAGTTTTTCGACAGAGTTATCAACCCTTGGCCCAACATGTCCAAAATTGAACATGGAACCCAATGAAGGCCAGATCCAGCAAGTAGTAAAATCATTCTTGGATCTCCTTTGAAATGGTTCCATGTTAGATTTTTTGGGACCTCACAATGACCTCACTGTTTTTGAGTCTTGATAGACATTGACAGAAGGAACCCCAAAAAAGGGTTGAATTTCTGATTTAGGGAATTGTAGAATTTTCTTAGCATGAGCTTGTTTGCTAGGTACCCTCGGGTACGCTGGGACATCCCCCATTCACAGATGATTTGGCAAAGTTCTAACCGAGTTCTAACCAGAAGAGGAGCGAAAACATGTGAAACCCAGAGTTCAAATCATTTACCCTCCGGCAATGAACATAGCCATGAACAACTCATTAGAGATGGCCATTTTCCATGGCTATGTAGCTGAGCTCCTCCACCGAATCTGGCTTTCATTCTTTCTGCCATGGAATTGACTTAGCAACCCTCTTGCTGGGTTGCTAACAGTTGTGACGTGTGCACGTCATTCTTGGGATTGAATCTAGATTTCATTCCCTAGCTGATATTTGTAGATTTTGGCTACTTCAACAGCGGGCTGCGGGCTGCCCGGCTTGGCCTGTGAGCCATTTACCGGACTGCGGCTTCACGAAGCCCATGGTTGGATTAAGGGTAAACTTGCTGGGGGTAGGCGACCAACGGCTCTTGATGGAACAAGTTGTTTCCTACCAAAACATGGATTTTCCATGGTATCTAACTATCTATACCAGCCGAAGCATGTCTGTTAGGGGATGTCTCCGGCTGGCACCTCATGGAATGTCTCACTGTTTGGTGCCTGCATCACCCCATTGCTCCTTGTGCGTCCAAGTTTGTATATGATGAGGAAGCCATAAGGAAGTGGGATAAAAAAACCATGTATCATGTACCATGGATTAAGACACTAATTCATGATAGTACAGTCTAACTATAGGACAATATTATATATATATTAACCCTAATCATATACTATTGCTACAATACATATAGGAATGCTAACCATAATGGAATATTACATACATATATATATATGTATATTAACCATACACAAACCATATATGGGTAAATTATAGCGGGGCACCAACTCCTCTGCACAAGGGAAAAGGATAAATTATAGCGACCTCACTGTTCTCCCTCCGCTGGAATGATGGTTAGCATTGGGATAACTATCCCAAAATAGCCTTACTTCAGATGAGTGAAATATGATCATTTACCCATATATATATATATACATGCATATACATATATTTATTTATGTATTTATTTATTTATTTATTATGTATTAAGCATAACCTATACGAATATTATTTCTATTCATATATGAATGCCAACCATGGAATGCTATCTATTCACCATACACTAACCACAATGGATTTCTTCCTACGGCGGCGCGGGCTGCGTTCAGGACCTGGTTGCGGCCATCGACAGCATCACCCAGGAGGAGCTGGAGACGCTGCGGAACTGCATCGTCGCCTTATCCAACAGGGGGAGATCCATGGGAGTCATTTTTTTGGGCAACACATGGTGATTTAACCAGAGAAAATGGTGCTTTTATGGGATTTAACCATGATTAGTTGTGGTTTTCTGGGATTTAACACACATGGGGATTTCCATAAATAGAGGATACCCCAATAGCTGGATGGTTTATAAGGGAAAGTCTATCTATAAATGGATGATAACTAGGGGTACCCCCATTTATGGCAACCTCCACGTGGGGATTGAGTGGGTTTTATGTGATTTAAGCATCATGGGGATATCATGAGTATATCTGGTGGTTCTGAAGATGTTTTGTAGTTCTATCCGTACCTTCCGGCAAGGTGGCTAGCCGGGAAATCCCCAGCAAGTGGTGGTTTTAAATGATTTTCAATGTATGCGGAGGGTACCCCAAACCTTTTGGTTCCTCGTAAAAATTGTGATTTTCCATAGTTTTTACCCATTAAATGGCAATTTATACTGGATTTACCATTAAAAATTGTGATTTTCCATAGTTTTCACACATTAAATGGCAATTTATAGTGGATTTACCATAAAAAATGGTGATTTTCTATAGTTTTCACCCATGAAATGGCCATTTATAGTGGATTTACCATTAAAAACTGTGATTTTCTATAGTTTTCACCCATTAAATGGCCATTTATAGTGGATTTACCATTAAAAATTGTGATTTTCCATAGTTTTCACCCATTAAATGGCCATTTATAGTGGATTTACCATTAAAAATTGTGATTTTCTATAGTTTTCACCCATTAAATGGCCATTTATAGTGGATTTACCATTAAAAACTGTGATTTTCTATAGTTTTCACCGATTAAATGGCCATTTATAGTGGATTTACCATTAAAAACTGTGATTTTCTATAGTTTTCACCCATCATTAAATGGCCATTTATAGTGGATTTACCCATTAAGAATTGTGATTTTCCATAGTTTTTGTATGTTTACCAGAGGCTAATTGATGTATAACTGGTTGGGGTTGGGTCACGACAAGCGAAGTCGGTCGCAATGAGGCTGCACCAAGCGTAAACGATTTCGCAAGATATCTGTTGTTCATACTTTGTATATATATCATATATATATATATATGTATGTATGTATGTAATGTAATGTAATGTAATGTAATGTAATGTAATGTAATGTAATGTAATGTAATGTAATGTAATGTAATGTAATGTAATGTAATGTAATGTAATGTAATGTAATGTAATGTAATGGTATGTATGTATGTATGTATGTATGTATGTATGTATGTATGTATGTATGTATGTATGTATGTATGTATGTATGTACATGTCTATGTATATATAACATATAATTATACATATCCACATAGATATAGACATGTACCTTGTAATATACACGTACACAGCCATTCATAAATATAAAAGCTGCATGACATTTGCGAGACTAGACTGTCACCTTCCCATGGAGACCTTTGATGGTTGGTCATTTTCCCTCTTGCGACCATAACTTGGGCTGTCCTCCATTGGAGAAACCCAAATATCGCACTGTTGATTAAAGCTGAGCAATAAAGCTGCGTAGCAAGATGAGTTTTTTTTTTTGGTTGTACCATCGCATGTCCGATTTAAATCCCACCGTGGAAGCGCCAAGGCCAGTCCTGAAACTCGGAAGGCCATGATGGCTCTGATGATGAAGACCAGTCGCGTGACAGAACCTGGAGCTGGGAGTTTCTACAAGGGAGATCTGAGCGGCAATGGCAACTTTAGATACTGAAAAATAATTCTGGATGAATGGGTTACTCCTCATTTATGGTATATATTTACTTATGGTTAACTTATGGTCCTTTAATATTGGCGACCTCACTACCCTATATACTCCCTATATTTGTCAAGCAAACATTTATGGTTCGCCAAACCTGGAGGATACCAACTATCATAACAGGGTAACATGGGTTGAGAGAGCCTCCCATTTCTGGCAAAATATGGCGTATGCAATGACCCCCCTTCTGCTACCACTACCATCCATTTATTGGTATGTACACACTTAGGAGGATGTATATTTTGGGGTTAGTTTGTCAGATCACTTCCGATTCCGTTGTGTATATAAACCTGGAAGATGCAGCAACCTCTACAATGGATTGATTGGCATAGGGTATATATAGGGTATGTATATAGTATAAATCTATAGCTTGTATTTATGGTATATATACATACGTGGTCGAGTCCTGTGCTCGCGCCATGAGACGAATGCCGGTCCCATCATTGGGGGTCGCTAAACACACCCATCCAATTTATGGAGCAACGTCAGCGCGATTGTGGGCCATAGACGAAAACGGCCCTGGATGCGTAGCGAAGTGCTCCTGTTTATCCTTGGGGTCGACAAGGTGTGTTCTCTCGACGTTGCTTTGCCGTTCGCAACTCTTCGCAACGGTTCGCAATGAGATCGATGCGGCCGCACCAATAGTGAGAGTTTTGGCAGACCTGGCATCTCATTTTGTGTGGCAGGCGTTGGCAGGCGTGGCACTTAGTGACACTCAGATGTATGTGGTCACATTGTCAAAACTGGTTTTGTGTGACAGTCACAATATTTTTGAATGGCTTTTCTTAGATTCTAAGATGGCCTTCTCTTTTTGTGGCAGGAGGAGTACTTGAGACAGGTCTATGAGTCCATCGGATTAGCTTTCAGTAGCGACCGTATAGCAGGATTGCATTTTTTGTTTGCTGCATGATGGTCTGCCTTGATCACGACGACGACGACGACGACGATGATGATGATGGCTGATGATGGATGATGGTGATGGTGATGACGGCGACGACGACGACCACGACGACGACGACGACGACGACGACGAAAATGATAAAGACGATGATGATGATGATGATGATGATGATGATGATGATGATGGATGATGATGGATGATGGTGATGATGTTGATGATGATGGATGATGGTGATGATGATGATGATGATGATGATGATGATGATGATGATGATGATGATGATGAGACGACGACGACGATGATGATGATGAAAATGATGAAGAGGATGGTGATGATGATTGATGATGATGATGGTGATGACGATGATGATGATGATGATGATGGATGATGATGGATGATGGTGATGATGTTGATGATGATGGATGATGGTGATGATGATGATGATGATAATGATGAGACGACGACGACGATGATGATGAAAATGATGAAGAGGATGGTGATGATGATTGATGATGATGGTGATGGTGATGATGATGATGATGATGGATGATGATGATGATGATGATGATGATGATGATGATGATGGTGATGGTGATGATGATGATGGTGATGAGGAGGATGATGATGATGGTGATGATGATGATGATGACGATGACGAAAATGATGAAGACGATGATCGCGGTGATGATGGTGATGATGGTGATGATGGTGGTGATGCTTGTGGCGATGAAGAGCTGATGGAGATCTTCACATCATGTTGAGAGCTTATCTCGTCACGGGAGATCCCAAGGTATTTGAGCAGACACTCCGCTATAACAATGAACAACAATCCACAAAACTCTTTGAAAATTTTGCAGTTTCAACTCAAAATTTTGAAGCAATGATTGAAAATGGGAACAACAGCAAAACTTGTCATTTTTGGAGGTTTGGAAGTGGTTAACTTATGTTTTTTTGGGTGAGAATCAGAGGTGGAACTCTTGCGGGTTTTCTTGAATCGAATCTTCTGATTAAAGAAAACCCGCAAGAGTTCCACCAATTCATTGAATTTTTTGAGGTTTTTGGACGTGGTGACATGTTTTTTGTCTGCGGTGAAGTATGTTGCGTTGTGAGTCTGGAGCGTGGAGTGTGGAACCTGGGGTTTGTAGAGTGTGGAGGTTGTTGTAGTAAGGAACTCGATAAAGATGCATTCGGGTTCGTGGACTCATTTTTTCGGTGAATGTACAGATGTTATCCCCTTTGATCCCACTTACCAGGGTATAGAACGAAAAAGGTCCAACACATCTCAACATCTTTGAACCATGAATCGCATGCTGAGAGGTAAAAACTCGTCGAAATTGTGAGCAAACTTTGGTGGAGTGGATGTACAAAGCATCGACTGCGGAAGCTGTCACCCAGAAGGGCGGCAAACCATGCAGGTGGGCGACAGCCATGATGATTTGGGATGATTTGGGTGTGTTTCAAGCCATGGAAACCCAATTTATGGCCTTTTTAATGGGGCAAAAAGGAAAACATGATGATAAACTCCATGGGTGATGGACAATGGGAAACACAGCCATGTGGTGAATGAGAACATTCTAATGGCACTACGTCAGGTGTCCTGGAATCCCACCTCTTTTTGCATTGTAGCCCTTGCACGGTATATGACAAGACAATGTGGTGCCTTTTTTTGTCAAGGCTGGTTCACGACTCGCAATCACGACTAGGCACAAACGAGTCTTGGTTGAAATACAATATTTCGTTTTTTATTTTTATTTTTGCGGTATTCAGCTGTTCATTCTTTACTAGAACATCAGTGGTAATTCTTATTGGTTCTAAACATACATCGAGCACATAGACAAGTCGGAAGATCGAAGGCCACTCCAAAGGTTCCTTAAGCAGTCGACACTGTTTGGCTAGGGAGCCTGCATGGGTCTTGCTGACCCGGTCTCTTAGCTCCAGTCACCAGCTGCACTCGGCACTTGGCCGAGGAAAAAAAGGTCACATTTTGGGTTTGGGGCAGGAGACCAGGCGTGAAAGAGCGCCTTTGGCACCTGGAAAAGGTAGGACACAATGGTTTTTTTTTTTTTCTGTGAGCAAAGCTTCTCAAGTATTGTCTTTCGATGTCTTTCTGGCAATTCAAAAGTGACCCTTTGACTTCAAAGCAGGGGATAATGATGGGTCACTTTGAATGGTCTACAAGGGGTCCTGACATTTCCTCTGTTTGTTCGGCTTGAAATGGTGGCTCCGATAGTGGCGAAACGCGGTTTTCACAAACATTCTCACTTATTTGCTGCTTAAACACTTAAACTGTAACTCTAGTTTTTGGCATGCAAAACCACAGTTTTACTGATATCGAACGCGTCCAGAAGTGAGGAAATGATCGCAGGAACCATAGTTTCGCGACAGCCTAGGTGGTCCTTGATGGGGAAGTGGTACCTGAGAATCTAAGCATTTCATAGTATCTCATGGTATCTCATCTCATCGTATCTCCCCGCGTTTTTTTTTCATGTTTGTTTTCTTCATGATTTTCGTCATTTATACACGCTACAGAAATCCCGGTGATTGCCCAGGGCATCCGATCAGTTCCCTGAAACAGTGCCGGGCGTCCAGGTTGGAAGCAGTGCAAAACGGTCCTGAGCCGCTTCGGCAAGGCGGAGGAGCGAAGGGGGCTGCATGGGCGGGTCTTGATCTATGGCAAATCAGTACATGGAATTCAGATGAATTTGGGGATGGATTGACTTGGATTTATCAAAATAAATTATAACTACACCATATGATACCCCCACAAAATTATAGTTTATCTACATATCTTTAGTTAGAGGAATTGGGATTATACATATACATGGTTCATTATAGTGATCATCCTACTAAATGGTCAATATCCCACTGGGCTCCATTCGGTTGCTAAGTGGAATGATGCTTCCAAGAAGGTTGCAGGTTGCAAGCTACTTTGCTTGAAGATCTTGAAGCGCCTGGCAGGGGCTCATCGGGCTCATCCCAGTTTTTGGAGGTGCCCCAAAAAAATATGGAACAGTTCCTTCCAGCTTATACCCTCTGGTAATTTAACATAGCTATGGAAAATCACCAATTTTTAACGGGAAAATCCACTATAAATGGTCATTTTCAATAGCTATGTTAAATTACCAGAGGGTAGATGATGTGTCCCCCATTCCAGGTTTCCATCTTTCCTGCTGGGGGTTCCCATGGGCTCTGATTTTCAGATGGAACGCCGGAAGTGGCAAGAGAAGTGGCAAGCGCAGTGTGCGGAGCTGGAGGCGATTTTCCGAAGGGTTGGGGGGGGGGAAGTCTGGAAGCCATCAACAAAATCGATAGGCCAAGAATCATTATTAACCATTTATATATATATATATTAATAATTATGTTAATTATGTTTGATGATTGTGACATATAGGTCTAACAATATAACAATTAACTATGTTGGTCTTTGTTGTATAATCAACTATGTTGACACATATCAACTATAATCAAATATAATCAACATATCGATTAAACATCCATAAACCATACTCGATGCACCCCATGATGCCATGTGAGTATGACAATCCAGACTCAGAACAGGTTGATGATTGGCTGAAACACGGCCAGATTGGAACCCAGAAATGGATGGTAGCGTTCCGAACCGGAGAGTTATGGCCAAAAGGTTCAGCACATCACATCATCCACTTGCAACGGAGCCTGGGCTCACCCATCATAGCGAAGTCACGCTGGCTTCCGCTGAAACCGTGGAAACCATCCATGTTGCGGAAAACTGATCTAACCATTTCTTAGTTCATCTAAGCGATATTTTTTGAATTTATAACTTGAAATCCAGATTCGGTTGGTGCCCAATTTCCATTTTTTTCAATAAAAACCTCAGATCTCAGGAGCTGAAGAAAGAGGCCAAAGAGTCGTTGAACATCAAGGACGGTCGAATGGCGAAGATCATCGATGATCATCGAATGTCATCCCAAAAGATCCCCACAGCAAGAGTCGCAACAGGTTTCGGCATGTAAATCTAGTGATTTGCATCGAGGATTCCTGTGGCCGTCATCTAAATTGAAGACATCACGTTTTTTTCCGACTCGGCACCCGGTGTCAGAGGCGCAGATCAACGGGTGGAGCCCGAGGTTTGTTTCAGAAGATTCAGATGAGTCACTACGGACAACTTCCAACGAGTTTCCGAAGTGTCAGAGCTAATAATTACCTACCCATGTGGGACCAATAATAATAATAAACCTGCAATTTGGGGATGGGCTATAACACCCATCTATGGTGATTTTGGGATGGTGTACCGACAATTCCAATGAGTCACTTCCTCCTGAATGGTGGCCAGGACGTTTCGAAAGCGCAGGTGGCTGCGCTGAGGGAGAGGAGCGGGGATTTTGGAACTTTTTACATTGCGATTGCTGGTGGTGTCCTTATGTGGATGGGTTGCACTCCCAGTATTTTCACCCAGGGATTCTTCGGGATTCTTCCGAGAATTGGTTCGGGGGGAAAAGCATCTGGAAACTTTTTTCGCACTCATTCCGTCAGATTCCTTCAACATTTGATGATCTAATGCTGCAGGACATCCAGATTGGGCATCATGCTTGGAGGAGAAGGTGGAGTGGGAATCTCCTGTGAGGGTTGGGCGGTTGGGCTTGGGATGCTGGTAATTTCACAGGATTTTTTTTCAGACCTGCTGGGACCCGCAGATTGGCTGGTTGCGGGTGAAGAACCATGATTATCATATACGCACGCATATATATATATATAATCACATATATATATAATCACATATATATAATCACATATATATATATAATCACATATATATATATATAATCACATATATATATAATCACATATATATATATATAATCACATATATATATATAATCACATATATATATAATCACATATATATATATATAATCACATATATATATATAATCACATATATATATATATAATCACATATATATAATCACATATATATATAAATAATTATATATATATATATGTATAATATGAAATGCATGCTTTCTTGGATGAGAATTGCGGCCCATGCCCAGGTTTATCCGAGGTTGTCCCAGTCAGGTCTCTGACAAAGCGATGTTAGAGGCCCAAAATGCCACTGAAAACCCAAGTATTGAAACATTGGGAAGTCACGGAAAAGGTCATGGACAGTTTAATACGTTTAAGTATCTTATATCATCACATATCATAACATATCATACTATATCATCATATATCATCGTATATAATCATATATCATCGTATATCATTACATATATATATAATCATACATAATCATATATCATCATATCTAATACCAATTACATGATAATACACTTCCAACCAGAACCAGGACTTGCCCCGATTTTTTTTGTGTCAGGCCCGGTGGCCATCGCCTTTGCCTGGTGGGGAACTCCAAGCAGAAGTTCAACCAGTGAAGTAGGGATATCATGCGAACATTTGATGTGCGTATATACATAAGTGTATATATATATATATGTATACATACAATTATATACGCTTGTCACCGTCACCAACTTGATCTGAAGATTGGGTGTTTCTGAAAATGGTTTTTAAACCTCCAATTTATGGTGATTTAATGGGACAATTGGGTGTTTTTGCAGATTTGGGGAACCCGTTTTCAGAGGGTGAAAGCTTCCAACTCTTTTGAGCTTACCTCATACCTTACCAACATTTTGGCACATCAATCTTCATTTTTTGGGTCAAAAACCTCAGATCTTTGCGGGTAGCATCTAGTTTTTTTTTAAATCTCAATTTTTGCAAGTCCCAATGTTTGTCCATGTTTGGCTGGTCAAATCCCATTTTAACCGAGTCAACTTTCCATCGGCATTCCGATCGAACCCAGGTTTCCCACTAGAATTTCTTGTTTCTGCTCATCAAATCCGCTATTTTTGCTATATGTTACCACTTTTCCCGGTTTTTACAGGTCAAATCTGCAATTTTTGGTGGGTCGAAACTCCAATACTCCAAGGTTCCGCGTGGCGGCCTTCTGGGCGCCACTGAGGCGAAAGCATTTGGCGAACTTGGAGAAGGCGCAAAGAGGGGGGAAGTGTCCTCAGTAGATGGCTTGGGTGTGGGTCAAGTTGCGAAAAAAATTATATATCTATATATATATGTATATATATATATATATATCTAAGTACTTGTCCAGCTATAAAAACCAGCTAGCCAGCTAGCTAGCTAGCTATCGAGGTAGCTTTCTAGCTATCTATCTAATCTATTTAATCTATCTAACATTTTCCGGACAAGAACGATTAAAGAGTTAACGATGCCAAGTAGAGACTCTTGACTTGAGGATGGTCCAAACATGTTGATCTCATGAACTCTTCGCCCAGCATCACAT